ATTTACATTGTTATTTTTTCTATTTATTGAATGCTTGGATAATTCCGAGCATACATATTTTAGTGTTATGAAGTTGGACTGTGACTTTGTCTATCCAATTTTAAAATGTTTTTGTATATAAAAGGATGCCTATTTATAAATATATTATTAGTATTATTATTTTTGCAGCTTCACTGACAAATGCGAGACCTGTCCTGATCCCATTGACTCAATTTTCCAACCTGATGCAAACTTTGGATCTATTAACGAACTTCAGGAAAAGCTCATAGAAGATTTCCAACCATTTAAAAGGAAAAAGGCAAAAAAAGAGTTTGAAGAAGCTATGAAACTGAAAGTCATGCAATCTATGTGTGCTCCTGGTGAACCAGTAGGATTGCTAGCAGCACAGGTAAATTGTCATTTTATTTTTTTATTATCAACTTCTAACATTTTGAAGAACATTTTTATGGGGGACCAAACAGAGGCATCCAAATTTTTTTAATATAGGACACCCCTAGACCTATCAGAATCATACCAATTGTGCTATGCAATTTTCTGCAGTCTAAGAATTAAGGATTTTTTATATTTCTATGAGAATTTTCTGATTTTTTTTTGTTATATGCTCCTTACAAATGTCTCTTAGAGTAAGGTATGAACATTTTTAATCGATAATAAAAAATTCATGATCAAACAAGGCAAAAGTTAAAATTTCAACTTTGAATTGAAACTCACTAAAAGATACTGACAGGAATGGCACCTAAGAGGCTATTTTTTGCAAAAACAGGGCTTTTAAGTTTGTGGAAGTGAACTTTTCCAGAGGTAGTTTTTGTCATTCCCAAGGCTAGTTGAGAAAAAAGACCAATGATGTAAACAAACTTAACACAACTCTTCAATTGAATCGTCACTAAACTTCAAAATTTGAATTTCAGTTTCAGCTACAAATGAAATTTCTTCATCAAACTTGTCGGAGAGCAATTTCAATGGTAAATTTTTATGGCCGATTGCTTTTATTGTTTATATTTCAATTATGTGAGATAAGTTCTATCTGAAACAGCCATAGAAAAAATAAACTAAGCAATGATGGTATTTTATAATCAATAATAACTATACATTTTTACCTTGGTATCTTTGAATGCTGACTTCAGCAAATCCAATTACAGTCAGCAGTCCAATTACCATTATTTTTTACTTTTTCTGAAAGTTTCAGGTTTCATAAAGTTTTTACAATATCCTTGGAACTAAAGACTTTTTCAAGAAGATTTTCAATTCATTGTTGAAAATTTACCTCTATTTTCTTCAAACGTTGATTTAATAATATCGATGAAACATTTCCTACCTTATTGTGGTTACAAAAAACACTAAGAATTTCACTAAACAATTTTACAAAAACACAACACGTGTTTCGCCATACAATGGATTCTTCAGGTGTGTCTTAACTAGCCATCAAGTAACGGCCAATTCCATCATATATCAAATACCGGAAAATCCTCTCCTGATAGCCCCTGATCACCCTGTAATATATATTCTTGAATTTCGACGTGGGAATATTATTTTTCAGTCGATTGGAGAACCTTCCACTCAGATGACCCTGAACACTTTCCATTTTGCTGGTAGAGGAGATATGAACGTCACTCTTGGTATACCTAGACTTAGGGAAATTCTGATGATGGCTTCTAAAAATATAAAAACCCCTTCAATGGAAATACCTTTTAAGAAAGTGCCTAATATGGAAAAAAACGCCGTGTTTTTGAGAAAATTACTCACCCGAGTGACAGTTGCTGATGTTTTAGAAGTTGTGCACATTACAACTGAGCAACAAATACAACCTGTCAGGTAAATACATGTATTATTTTTTATTTCTAAAGTCTGTTCTTTGGGGTAACTTAACAGAAAGTATTTTGTTTTGGGAATTCAGTTATGAGTCTGTTTGGTCCATGTGAGTTCTTGAAACCAATGGCATACACAATGCCACATATGACAATGGTCATATTTTTAAATAATCTTTGTTTGAAAACTATACATTTTTTATAATAATGATATTAATAGAAGAATATTNAAAATTAATAAATAGAGTTTATTCTATGATTTTTACTATAAGGGTTTTACAAAAACCGCTGTGTGAAGCAGTGTATGAAAAATTATCGATGGCGGCATCTATTATAACTCAAGAAGATTACTCGTAAAACTAATTCTGGTTGCTGAACATCCAAATTCTATCCCAACCAGAAGTGAGAGCTCTCGCTTGATGAGCAAAAACTGCAAAAAATGGAAAAAATCTATATTCAAAGGTTCACATCTCGAAAACTGTACAATTCTGAGCTTTGGCTGTGGACACTTTCAATCAGCACATCAAGAACTGCAACATATCAAAATTTCGGCAAAATTCAAGGCAAGCCATTTCTCATAAGAAATGTGCGGGGTCCTCAAAATATTGAGGAAACATTTTACCATCGAAACAAAATTAATCTTCATACTCATTGCAACACCGAAACAACTGTTAATTTTCAAAGAACAAATCGCACTCGGTGAACAGGTAGAATTTAGATTATTTTACCTACTTGCTGAATTGTTGTCTGAAATTATTTGAAGGGATTGAATTACATCAGTTTCATTCAATTTCGTTCATGTTTTGATGTCAAAACCAAAAAAAAATCTACTTCAATTATTACGGAAGATTCGGGGGTGTTTCCATGAGAAGTGAAACAAATTCGGATTTTTCAGGACTGAAATTTTTTCAAGAAAAAAGTGTAATCGTAGTAAGTTGTAATTTTGAGCCTATTTTGCCCCCTAATATGTTTTACCCTAATATGTTTATTTGGCCAACCCCATTCAGGTGGTAGGTGCATTATGAGCATTTCCATCAGTCCAGAGAGTTTAATCGTTCCACCTCGAATATTACGGAAGATACGGGGGTGTTTCCATAAGAAGTGAGACAAATTCGGATTTTTCAGGGCTGAATTTTTTTCAGGAAAAAAGTGTAATCGTAGTAAGTTGGTAATCCTGATCACGAATCTGAAGGAATTTTGAGCCTATTTTGCCCCCTAATATGTTTTACCGTGAAAATGGGGTGTTCCATCGCGAGTGGCGGACAGTGTATATCACTTTGGCCAACCTCATTCAGGTGGTAGGTGCATTTTGAGCATTTCCATCAGTCCAGAGAGTTTCATCGTTCTACCTCGAATATTACGGAAGATACGGGGGTGTTTCCATGAGAAGTGAGACACGCTATATATATTGAATTGAGATAAACACAAAAAATCTAGTTTCAAAATCCAAATTTTGGCACCAATTTATGTTAATTTAAATTAGTTAAATAGGTCTAGTAAAATTCTGTAAATTATACCTAGTCTTCTACTGTTTCTAATCTGTTCTTTTATACATTTCAGGCAACACCAGTATGAAATTAAATTCAACTTTCTACCACGATCGTGTTACGGTCATGAATATTGCGTGAAGCCAAAACAGATCCTTCACCATATGAAACAAAATTTCTTTGGTGAAATGTTTGCAGCAATCAGAAAATTTACCAAAATCAATAGCCACATGTAAGAACAAATACATTTGGTGTATTGTGTAGTATACTTTTGAATATTCTGTTGTAGCATTACGATGGATGAGTCTAGAAAAAAAAGAAGTGCCAACACAGAGGAGGACAATGAAGGGGAAAGTCAGATAAGGAATGAAAACGCGCAAATGAGTTCCTCCGAAGATGAAGTAGAGGATAGTGAAGATGCAAAAACAACAATTAAATTCAAGGAAATCCGGGATGGTTTAGAACCAGAAGACGAGGAAAAGGAAGCTTCAGATTCGGACAATGGTAATTAATTGAATTAACTCGAATTTTTGATAGACATAAATAGCTGGAAAAACTAATTGACTGAATTTTTTTGAGAACCAATGGTGTTTTCATTCGGAATTATAATTAGTAGTGAAAAAATTCATAACTTTTCTATTTAATTTTCCAGAAGAGTTGGAAGGAAACGAAGATATGAAAGACGTCGAAAAAAATCAGCAAACAGAACCAAATTCAGTAGTTGAGTCCCATAATTTTGCTCAGAATTACTTGGAAGACACCAAAAAATATTTATGGTGTAAAATAACATTTGGAGTGAGTACATTTTTCAGGTGATGTGTTGAAATTTGAATTGATGATAACATGAATTGAATATTTCAGTTGCCTCTGAACTACAAGAAATTACATCTAACCGAAATGTTGAAAGATGTTGCCAGTAAGTCAGTCATATGGCAAATATCAGGTATCAAAAGAGCTATTACGTACACCAAGAATGATTCATTAATGTTGAGAACTGATGGGGCTAATATTGTCGTAAGTTCAGTCACTATATTCAAATCAGATAATTGAAAAATATCAAAGTATGAAGCAAGCCCCATGTACAAATTATTATAATTTTTTTAAGGAAATGTTTAAACATCATGACACCCTGGATCTTCTACGACTGCACTGTAATGATATACATCAATTTGCCTGGACTTATGGTATAGAAGCTGCATCAAAAATAATAGTTAAGGTAATAGATCAATCATTACTTCTAGTTGAAATCAGTTTTTATAGTGAACAACCTGATTTTAGGAAGTTAAAGATGTGTTTGACGTTTATGGAATCAAAGTGGATCCAAGGCATTTGTCCTTGATAGCAGACTATATGACTTTCAGTGGAACTTATGAACCTATGAGTCGAAAAGGAATGGAAAGCAGCCCTTCGCCCCTGCAGCAAATGTCGTTCGAGTCTTCTTTAACCTACCTCAAGAATGCCGTTATTAGAGGTATAATTTAACATGAACATGATATAAACTGTATTAAAAACACCTCACTAATTTCAATTTCTGACCAACATTCATGATTCGTGAAGTATTTGTGACTCTTTATAATAATAATAAATGCTTTAATTGAAAGGTTACTCAGTACAAGAGATACTAACAACGTAACCTAACAAATGGCAGAATTCAACATCTGCACATGATAAATTACGGCAGATATTGCTCTTCCATCTTACTCAGTATCTTTTTGATTTGTTACAGGAAAGCGAGATGATCTACAAAACCCCTCAAGTTCTCTCATGGTGGGAAAGCCTATTGGAACCGGAACAGGATGTGTCTCGTTGTTTCACAAAATTAAAACCAATGAATTTAAACAAAATTATGGTAATGACTGTGATTGAATTTGAATACAATTTGCTATGTATATTTTTTTGTAATTTTGAAGTTGACATAAAAACCACCATTTTTTGTTTTTCTCTTTTCTTATTTTCCTTCACCTTTCATGATATTCACTATTGACACGAAGTCACTTGGTGGTCTAAGTATATTTTTTCTCAAATACTTTTTAGTACGATCCTTCCATTGATTGCTTCCTTTCTATACCTATGTACAGCAGTGTTGCTTGTAAATAGTTGCAAAGAGAAAGTTATGAGGTGTTAAGTCAAGAGACTTCTTCTGTTGACCAGTGCCAGCTGCTGCTGACACATTTCGTTGATTTCCTCACAATAGGACTCTACTTCGATGGTTTGACCTGGTTGCAGAAAGTAATAGTGAACACACCAGCCAGCCGCTGACCACTATACAGTAACCATGGTCTTTTTTTTGTGGTTTTTCGCCTTTGGGAAGTGCCTGTGTGGCGCATCGATAACCAACTACTGTTGCGAACGTCTGCTGTTGTCGTCACACGTGACGATACGATCCAAAATACACGATCGATTTAGTTGCGCAAAAGCGAAGAACAGATCTAGAAACGTGACATTTTCTATGTTTGTTTGAAGGTGGTTGACAATGTTCCATATTGCACTTTATTAGTTCAGACTTTCATTGTCTAGTGTGATATAAAATAATTTGAAATCCCTGAAAGAATCAATAAAATTAAACAGATTAGCTAAAGAAAATAATAATTATGTTAATAAAAAAAACTGAAATTACAATGAAATAAAACACAAGTATTAATTGAATATTGAACAATTAACAAGAAATAAAAATTGAAATGAAAATATTCCAAGCCAAGTTACATCATGAAGTTTCGATTGTTTCTATCAATACAATACATAACAATAATTTATTCATCCTGTAAGATCAAATGTGATGTAGGACAAGTCAATAAAAGCAGTAAAAAGGTCTTAGATTTACAAATATTATCAGTCATAAAAACATACAATTAAAATTTCATATGATAATCTATTTAATGTTGAATGACTAAATTAAAGCTGAGTTGCTACTAAATTCTTTTGTTGTATAAGGACACAGATCGTCAAGAACATTTCTTAGTTTTCGCTTAAAAGTATGTGTTGGCAAATCAATCAATTAATCAATCAATTTATTCATTGTAAATGAAACATTACAACGTCGTTATTTCCTTAGTATTAAAATTAAAATACATATACACAGAGATGCACAGATCAAAATAAAATAAATATATACAAAATTATCATGCACATGTAAACCTACAAGAGATGTAGTACATGTATTATTCATTTATAAAATCTTCTATTGAATAGAAACATTTTTCTATTAGGACATTTTTCAGCCAGGTGGAGAATTCATTCGAGTGTTTCTTTTTTGCATAGTCTGGAATTTTATTATATAATTTTGCGCCCCAATAATCGCATCCTTGCTGTGTTTTCTTCAATCGATGAAGAGGAACTTGCAGTAAATCTTTATTTCTGGTATCATAAGAATGATTGAGTACATTTTTTGAGAACATCTCTGGATTTGCGTGAACATATTTTAGACAACTATATATATATGTACTGGGAATGGTGAGGATTCTATGTTGACGAAAAGCCTCTTTGCAGCTATCTCTATATGCAAGTCCGCTGAGAATTCTGATGGCTTTTTTTTGCTGAACAAATATTTTGTTTGAATCAGAACTTGTGCCCCACAAAAGGATTCCGTAAGTTGCTATGCTGTGAAAGTTTGAAAAATAGGTTATTTTAGCCGCTTGATGTGTTGAAATTGTTTTCATTCTCCTTATACAATATATTGCTGAATTAAGCTTCTTACTCATTTTGTTTATTTGTACCTTCCAATTTAGTTTTGAGTCCAGATGTATTCCAAGGAATTTTAGTGATTTTTCCTCCGTATTGTTTTTGCTTGAAATCATTAGCCTTTGAGTTTTTTCTTAGTTTAGCAGGAGTATATTTGCCGTAAACCAAATATCTGCTTCGGCTAGAACTTGCTCTGTCTGTTGTCTTATGTCACCTTCATCTTTGCCTTTAACTAGAAAAGTTGTATCATCTGCATATGCACTTGATGCATAAACCTTGATATTTTCGAGAAGATCGTTTGTGTAGATGATAAACAGAATTGGCCCTAAAATAGAACCTTGAGGCACTCCTTGAGTTACCGGAATTGTCTGAGATAGTGAATTTTTCCACCATGTCGATTGAAAACGATTTGACAGGTATGACTTGAGCAGTTTATACGAAATTCCTCTTACTCCATAATATGATAATTTCTCTAACAGTATTTCATGGTCAACAGTATCGAAAGCTTTACTCAAGTCACAGCTTAATATCTGGGAGTCCTCTTGATTATCAATGGCATCTATGATTTTTTGAATAATTCCTATCATTGCTGTCATTGTAGATTTTCCTTGCTGATATCCATGCTGAGAGCTGTTGAAAAATGCTGAACTGTCAAAGAACTGGACTAATCTCTTTTTGATTACCATTTCGAAAATCTTTGATATTACTGGTAGAATTGAAATGGGTCTAAAGTTATTTGGAATATCCTCCCCTTTTTTAAAAACTGGTATAACTTTTGCATGCTTTAGTTCATCTGGAAACACCCCTTCGTTTATGCATTTATTGATTATTAATGCAATAGGTTGCGCTATTACATCACCTAAGTCCTTCAAAATTGTGGTTGAAATTCCAAATATATCTTCAGTTCGTTTACGTTTAATTTCCTTTAAAATCTGTTTAATTTCTTTTTCATCCACTTCAGAAAAATAGATTGATCGGACATTATCTATATTATTTTTTCTCAGCATTTCAATAGAGGGAACATTGATTTTTCCTATTTTTCTTGCTGTTTCTGATCCTACCATTGCAAAATAGTCGTTTAACTCATCAGCCATGAGTTTAGATTTGTTGATTTTTGTAATATTCGGTGCTGTTTCAGACTTAATAATATTCCATATTGCTTTAGTTTTGTCGACAGCCTGTGCAATGTACTCTTCATTATACCTCTTTTTTGTTTCTATTATGTTTCTATTATAATCGTGTTTGTACTGAACATAAGCTCTTTCTGATGCTTCATCTGATCTTACTTTCCTTATCGTGTCTAAGGCATCCAATCTATTTTTCATCTTTTTCAGTTCTTCAGTGTACCATTTTGACGATTTTGTTCTTCTTTTATTTGTCTTTTCTTTTATAGGAAAACATGATTCATATATTGTCAGAAATGCATCATGGTAGCATGTGTAGGCTGTACAGGGATCAAGATTTTCAAGTAATGTTGTCCAATCCAATTCTGATAATTTCTTTTTGCATTTTTCAATGTTTTTAATATTTATGTTTCTCGCTGTCACCATGTGATTTTTTATTCTTTCATCTTTTTGAGGCAAATTTAGTATTTGTCCCATATGATCTGACATATGTAAATTTACTGTTTGAGAGTTCGTTTCAGAAATTGTGTTTGTGAATATGTTATCGATGCAGCTTTGAGATCTATATGTTACACGTGATGGTTCTACAGTTGTTTTATGTAATCCATAGGATGACAGCAGATCCTCCACAGAACAGCATGTGTTACTTTCAGTCATGAAATCGATGTTAAAATCTCCCGCTAAATAAATATTTTCCATATTATTCGTTCCTGTTATAAATTGCAAGACTCTTCAACTTCAGTGGAAGTGAATTGTAAAAGTAGAAACCAAAAGTATTTGGTGATTTTTTGGATAATTCCAGGTGCCTGAAGGGTACCTGCAATGTTACATAGGCTGTGAATAGCCGTGATGCTCCCTAGGTGGCTCGGTGCGTACCCAGAACACGAGACTTATATCCAAGTAGCCGATACTGTAGACATCGAAGAAAATATGGACAAAATTGATTTTTGGCAAATGTTTTTTTTTTAACAAATGACCTAATGTTATACATTTTTCTTCATGAACAATTTGTCATGTGGAGTTTTTGTGTGAAAAAAATTTATTTGGTCTGAAAATTTTAACACAAATGTTACAAAAATTATACCTACTCATTTTCAAAAACGAATCTGTCAATTTTTCATTTGGTAAATACAAACAACTCAGACTCAAAACACTTTAAATTAACATATAAAGTTGATTATATTTGAAATCTCTTCAGAAACTATTTAAAATTTGTAATTGAAAATATCAAGCAAATTTGTGATTCGGTAGAATTGCTACTGTAATAATTGACTACAATATACAATAAGTAAACTTAACTTTATTTTATTTTTCTGATTGATTCGGCCGTTACTTGATGAAGATTCATAGTAATTTCAAAAACTACACCTCAACGATTTGATCTCCACAAACTTTATTTGAAAAATATATCACAACATGTTTCGCTAAGACATTAGCTTTTTCAAGTGATTTGTACATCAAATTATCCTTACTATTTATATACTACAGGTAACCATAATTGAGACTACCTCATACCTCATACTACATAACGTACCTGTTCAATTATGATTACCTAAAGCATATTGCCTCACATCTACATCAATAATAATTCTTTCTCGGTTTTTAAGAAAACAAGTTCAATAATGGTGATCTATTCAAATCTAGTTGGTCATTCATTAGAATGTTTGAATCATTTTCCATTGCTTCCAAATGATTCAGCTACATACCTTTATTTTCTATGTGCAAAATTTCGAACTCTTCATTAATGATGTGATTTTCTTCTAGAAGATGATTTGAATATGTTGAATTTGTTTTCTTATTTACATATTTCCTATGATGTTCCTGGATTCGATTCCCAAATGTCCTGCCAGTTTGACCAATATATACCTTAGGGCACGTTCCATACTTTAATTTATATACTCCTAAATTCTCGAATTTGGATGTTTTGTCTTTATTATTTTTCACTAACTTTCCCAACATATTACTTGTTCTATATGCAATTTTAATATCTCGATTCCTCAAAAATGAACCCACTTTTTCTGTTGGTCGTCCAAAATACGTTAAAGCTCTATAACTGATTATCTACCTTATCAATGGGAAAAACGTCTCGAATCGCTTTTGTGTACACTTTCTCGGCAAGTATTTTGTTTATTAATTCGGCTTTAAACCCATTGTTTACCGCAATTTGCTTGATGATAATAAGTTCTTTATCGAAATTATCTATTGAAAGAGGAACATTGACTAATCTGTGAATCATGCTATTATAAGCTGCTACTTTGTGTTGATAAGGATGGGTAGAATTGTAATGTATAGTAATATCCGTATAGGATGGTTTGTGATAAATTGAAAAATCATGTTTTTTGTTCATTCTACTAATTGTTAGGTAAATTGATTGAGTTATCTGTTTCTATTTCAATAGTGAATTTAATGTTTTCATGAATTTTGTTAATATCCCTATGAAAAGTATTTAATTGCCTCTTAGTACCTGTAAAACATACCAAAACGTCATACACATATCTATGCCAATACAAGAAACTCTTAATCAAAGGATGTTTAAAAATCGACTTCTCTAGATTATCCAAGAAAATTTCTGCAAGCATGGGGCTTAATGGATTTCCCATAATTAAACCTTTTGAGGAGGAATAAATATTGTTGAATTGAAAATAATTTTGGTTGAGACATAATGACAGAAGGTCAATTATTTCTCGTTTTATGATTGGGTTCACTCTATTTTTATCTAATAATTCTGTTACTAAAGTAATAGTATCATCAGGAGGTATGCTGGGAAATAGATTCTGCACATCAAATGATAGTAATTTTGCGTTGTCTGGTAGAGGTATGTTCTCTATTTTATTGATTAAGTCATATGAATTCCGTAGACTAAATTTTGGTTGGAAGGTTCAATGGTTCAAGATGATATTGATTAGCCTTTCTGATAATTTCACTGATGGTGCAGTGACAAAGGAAACCACTGGTCTAATTGGATAACTCTGTGCAGTTCTATGAGTGAATATAATTTTGGCATTTGGGGGTTTATCAATGTTAATTTGAACTTTTCCCTCTCAGTGAAAAGTATGTTTGAATTTTTCAAAAAATCCTTCACTTGTTTTTGGAATGAATTAGTTGGATCACGTTTCGGCGTTTCAAAATTTCCTAAATTCAAGAAATCAAGGGTTTTGTTGACATAGTCAATTCGGTCAATAGCAACCACAGTATTCCCTTTATCTGCTCTATAATATCGATGATGTAATATACATCATTTTCGTTAATTTTACTACGTATTGATTTCACAAGTTTCAATTCATTCGTAAAACTACCTTCTTTCAAAAATTCTGACTTTATGATATGTGACGCCTGGTGCTTGTTATTAATGCTATTAAATGTCCCTCTTAATGCTATTTCAGTTTCTATCCCCAAAATTTCAAAGTAAACGGTAAAAGCGGTAAACAATGGGTTTAAAGCCGAATTAATAAACAAAATACTTGCCAAGAAAGTCTACACAAAAGCGATTCAAGACGTTTTTCCCATTGATAAGGTTGTCCGTTGGACAACCAACGGAAAGGGTCGTTTAATTTTTGAGGAATCGAGATATTAAAATTGCATATAGAACAAGTAATACGTTGGGAAAGTTAGTTGAAAATAATGAAGATTAAACATCCAAATTCAAGAAATCAGGAGTATATAAATTAAAGTGTGGAACGTGCCCTAAGGTATATATTGGTCAAACTGGCAGGACATTTAAGAATCGAATCCAGGAACATCATACGAACTATGTAAATAAGAAAACAAATTCAACATACTCAAATCATCTTCTAGAAGAAAATCACATCTTTAATGAAGAGTTCGAAATTTTGCACATAGAAAATAAAGGTTTGAAACTGAATCATTTGAAAGCAATGGAAATTAATAAACTTAAAAATTCAAACATTGTAATGAGTGACCAACTAGATTTGAATAGATCACCATTACTGAACTTGTTTTCTTAAAAACCGAGAAAGAATTATTATTGATGTAGATGTGAGGCAATATGCTTTAGGTAATCATAATTGAACAGGTACGTTATGTAGAGGTTCAGGTAATTTCTTAGAGGTAGTCTCAATTATGGTTACCTGTAGTATATAAATAGTAATGTAAGGATAATTTGATGTACAAATCACTTGAAAAAGCTAGTGTCTTAGCGAAACATGTTGTGATATATTTTTCAAATAAAGTTTTTGGAGATCAAATCGTTGTAGTATTTGAAACTTTATTTTACTTTTAACTAAAACTTCAACTATTATTCAATTGTTAATCGCCTTATTAGATCGCCTGTACCTCAGTGTCTGACTTGACATTATCGATATGATCGTGGCTAGCGTTTATGTATCGTAATTGAAGAAGATAGAACATTCGCTGGAATTCCATCGAAGCCGGTTGCATTATTCTCGCCACGTCTAGAACGCCGAAAATATGCTATTGTATAGCGAAACACGTTTCACAGTTTTGTAAACTTTCAAGCGGAAATCTCACATTGAAGTATGTTTTTTACATACGCTATATGAAAGTCTATAAAAATATAAAATGTCAAGTGAATGAGTGAATCAGTGAAATTGCTGTCATGAATGAACTTTCTACTTCCTAATCTGAGAAAAAAAGGACAGCACATTTCGCCTTTTAATTCTTCATATATTACATATAAAACATTATAAACATTCATCACAAAATATCAAATGTGAGCACCATTTTTCAGACAGTAAAAAAACAATTGAAATTACTGATTGAACCTGAACCATACTCAGTCGAAGATGCATGAAACTCTAAATTGGAAAGCTACTTGTAAACTATAGTTTTTTGACTGGCTGGTTACATCATTTCATGTGATATGCATTTTAAATTATAATTACTATTGATTCATACTCCAATTCTCTTTTTTGAATAATCATAATAAATTACCTATATATAATATTTATTACTTTCTATTCAAAACAATAATTAATCATCTATTTACAGTTTAATGGTAATAATTACGAATGTTCACAATATGGATTTTAAGAAAATTAATATTTAAAAAAATATTGGAACATTCATCTCTCCCAACGACCTACACAGTAGGTTCTGGTAAATACTTGCCGGGAAGTACCCCGGCTAATACCACTTCGGATATTGAATTATATCCTACAGACATTCATGCAAGATACCTCACAGAGGTTAAGTCTTGCAGATGTTTCTCCTTCATCCAGCAGCAGGACTACACTGAAATCAATCAAGTTGATCACCTATAGAGGAGTTTCGAGGTATTATCTCTCATCAATGCAAGAAAGATCCTACCCAAACAACAATGTGCCTGGGATTCGATGAATTACAATGCTGATCGACTGCATGTATGAAACCTGCATCTGAAAGAAAGACTTAACTAGTAACAGCTCCATTTCGTGAACAAAGCCCCAAGTGAGAAGTGAAAACCCAAATGTACTAAATGAAATTTAGAAACATCCATCTCTCCCAACTACCTAGGTCGTAGTTTCTGGTAAATGCCTGCCGAACTTTAGTTTTCATCAAGTAACGAATCAGTGTATTCAAAATTTACAGTTTTTCATAAAAACTTGCTTAGGAGTCTGTCAGTTCAGAATACCGAATTGAACAAATTTCAAAATGAAAGAGAAATAGAAGTGAATATTTAAAATCTTTAATAGTAAACAAGTAAGTCACACACATAAAAACTAACTTCTCTTTTGTTCTTTTTCCTTTGCTAAACTCGTACTTTCCGCAAAATATTGGTTTGGATGGTTTATTGCTGTAGATGGTGCTTGTCCATGGATACACTCGAAATACTTGGTGCAGGCAATTTGATAATGTCCATCAGAAGCCATTTCCAACACAGAATTCACACCTTTAAAATTAAATTCATTCAAATTTCATTGATAATTATAGAAAATGTAGCATTCCAAAGATATCATTTTCAGGAATCATTTTGAATAATTTCCAGAATATATTTTTTTTTCAGTTAAATGAGGCATATAGAGGCATACTGATAATTTGGTCTATAAAAAAATTCGTCATTATGACTGTATACATATATGCAAAGTTCATACAGATACAAGCCTGTCACACTTAAAATCTTCAGTCGCTTAAAAGCCTTTTTAAGTGACTGCCTCCACTTCAGTCCTGCCACAATTCTCACAACTAATTTTTGCAAAGTGAAAACATGTTACCAAGAGGTATATGTACCCCAGTTAAGAATACCATATCGCAGATGGCAGTTGATGTTTGCATAATAAAGGATTAATAAGATATTTTCGTGACAATAATTTTATTTGAAATGCTGTACCGTCTATAGAAAATGAGATACATCACATTCATTACTATTTACATCTGTAAAACTGGAACATTTAAAAGAAAAATTTCGACTTGGCACTAGGAATCATTTATTCGCCGTTTTCATTTCGAATTTCATTGCAAAGAAACCGAAATTACTAGTAACGACTTTGGTATTTTTTCGATTTTGGATAAAAAAAAAAATGGATTTGTTACTCGATAAAATTTTATGGTTTCTAACTTCAGTTTTTTGGTAAAGAATACAGAATTGCTTAGTAGCAGACGACTTTGGTATATTTTCAATAATAGGACAGAAAATTTACAGTTGAATATCGAAATAAAATTTTGTCGTTTGGAGAAAGGGAGAGAGAGAGAGAAAAATATTCTTTATTGTCTGAAGAACAATAGTATATTATATACCTAGGGTGAGAAGTCAGCTATTATTTACCGAGCATTTTTATATCCTGAGGCGCGTAGCGCCGAGGGATATAATGTGCGAGGTAAATAATAGCTTTCTCAGCCGAGGTATATATAGAATTTTTTTAATTTTGGCATTAGTAATTTTCTAACAATTTGTTGAATATATCGGAATATCAAGTAGAGTGGAGAGTGTTTCTAATCAGACTGGCTTTATTTATGTAAAAATTTGGCATGTGTCAAATTTTGATATGAATCTAGGAAATATCTCATTGCATTTTTTATATATTTCAATGTTCCACTTCTCTCATCGCTTCTGTATGTTCAGAACTTAGAATTTCTCAATTCTGCATTATAGTGAGAAAAAAATTTCCTTGGTTATATGATAACCCAAGGCAGCTATGAATTGTTTCATGTCAAATTGAAACGGTACATTTTCCATGTTGAATACGCGATGTCGAGGATAAGCGCGCAACATCTACTTAGGCCATGAAAACGTTTGCCGGCGTTTCCATGACAACCAAACACTGTACAATGATTATTATTGCTGTCAGTTTGCCAAATGCGGTTTGAATTCAAATTTAGATGTCATTTTGAAGAAGTTAAAAGATCTATATAAGTAAAACCGTCAATATAATTAATTGAAAAATGGGTGAAAATTCAAGTGATGATGATTTAGAGATGATGTGTACCCCGCCTGATTTGTCACAATTGTACAATTAATTATAATTTCAAATAAGTTTCAAGCATATTTCCAATGTTCAATTTCCTACTTCTAGTTGATAATTAAGTTAACAAAAGTTTCTGTGAATATCTTTAAAATTATAGAATTGTTCTCATTATTTACCTAGGTGTTTTTTTATCATCATTATTTACCAAGGGTGAGAAATATTAATTCTCGTTAGGAGAATGGAGTAAATAATAGCAATTTATCAGGTTAGTAGTGAAAAAAATTCTTATGGACATAGAGTATGACTTATCACTGACTAACAAACAATCAGACTTTGACTTATTACCCGAAATAATGTTTTTGTCGTTATTATTCGAAAAAAACAAGAATTACTAGCAACCAACATTGATATTTTTCTCAACCATGGATTAAAAATGTTGACTTAACACTAGAAATTGAATGTTTATTTCAATAAAAGTTTTTTGGCAAAGAACCTGAAATTACTCACTTCCAAGCAACTTTTATTTTCTAGAAAATAACGTGTTTGTCGTTTTTAGTTCGAATGTTTCAGAGAGGAACCCGGAATTACTTTCAAGCAAATACCTGTTCTTCACAAAATTAATTCATTTTTCAAATGTGTAGACCTACCTTCTGAACTTATTCCCTGTTCAACTATTTTTTGCTTCAAAATACTGGAGTCCCAATGCTTGAAAGGACACCCATGGTGTTCACCCGTCCCAACAGAACCCATAATGATTTTCATGCAGCTATAAGGAGAATAATCCGTCATACCTCCCGCTTTTCCATACATATGTCTGATCAGGTAAGAATATTCTTTGTCGAACTTTTCATTGTCAATTTTTTTGGTGAACTCCTGTCTCCAGTATTCCATGGCATCTTCATATAAGAGGCCTAAAATAAAAAAGAATATTAAATAATGATAATATTGAGAATAATAACTATTCTCTATTTTCAGTGAGACAATGAAATTGTATTGTGTAGAAAGTGCAATACAAATACACATAATATAAATAAAAAAAAGGATGAAAACAAGCTCATTATCTAAAAGGAAATGAATGAGTTATTCAAAGAAGTCCTGTAGGTGAAGTTTAAAAACATGTTTACAATAAATAATTCTTCAATGATTTTTTGAATACAGGGAAACTATTCAAGTCCTTCACATGATTTCTGTTTGAATAATTTGTTATTCACCACAGAAAACGATTTTGTGCTATAAAAACATTTCCTACTGGGGAAGATTGTTATATCTCTCCTGTACTATAATTATCCCCTGCCTCTGATCTGAAATGTTTATTCATTTTTGGTTTTCAAAGTATGTTACATGGTTGATATAAAGGAGGCCCTGTTATAGGCTTATGCCTATTCAGGGTTACATATTCATTCAACAGCTAATAGTTTACCGTCTATTACCACTGACTCTGCCTGCTTTACAAGTTTGTGAATACCTTTCAAATTTCGTTATTATGGATTTCCAACAGTTTGCAACTTTCATGATTACAAAGCAAGAGCAACAATAGTTTATGACACAATTTTTCAACCAATTGCAAACAAAGTTTTCTTATTATTTAGAATGGTTTGAAAACTACTACACCATGAAAAGCGTTAAAGATGAGGAGAATATAGCCCAGCTACTATGTGTTTCAATAGGTTCATCACATTACAATAGCTTAGCTGCATTCTTAGGTCCTGAAAAACCAGTCAAAAACCTGACCTACGACCAATCAATAAAAGCTTTTGAACAATTGCTCATACCAAAAAAAAGTACAGTTGTTACAGCTCTTCAACAAGATCTCGTAGAATACGATTTCTCAGTAAGATGAGAATTTGACAAAGTAATTTCAGTAGCTGATATTTTTCTTCGTGCTTAATTCATCCGTGGACTTCTAGACAACTGGTTACAAGAACAAATACTACAGTCAAGTATAACTACCACATTTGAAAATATTCTAACCAAAGCCACTGCCTTAGAAGCATCAAAGATTTAAAGTAAAAAAATATCTCGCAAATTTGAAAGTATATTTTTCAAAGAGTTGTTACGTATACGATGTGGGGAAGGATAATCATAAAATCAATGATTGCCGCACTGACAAAACAAAATTCGTGCATACTGTTCGAAGGAAGGCCATGTCTCTTGAGTATGTTCAACTACTTTATTGTCGTCCTCTCATAATCGAAATAAACTTGAATCAAAGTCGATAATTCTAGAAGCCGAAGGTATCGTTTCTCCAGTATCTTCATCCCATTGGGGTTCCCCTTTTGTAATTGTGCCAGAACCTGACAGAAAAGTAAGACTCTGTGTCAACTATAAATATGGCGTTAATGACAGATTGGATGTTCACAATAGTCTTCGAAACTCTCGATATTACTGCAAATTAGATTTATTCAAAGCATACCCCTATTGGAGAGATCCATATGTACTGCAATTTCAATGATATACTTCAAAAGTTCATGGCTACTGGATATCCTGCTACTAATCGACTTGCTGAAAGTAACATGCGAACGTTGCAACACCGACTGAGAGCCGCTGTGAACGACCAAAAAACCATGAAAGAAACAGTTCAGGAAAATCTGTTTCGTTACCGGCCAACGGCACTTGGTTCTGGCGAATCAGAGTTATTTTGCAGTAGAATAATACAACCATTAGGCTCTTTTACCACGTGATCAACCGCTCTTAGGATGAGATTCTCATCCAACGCGTTCAGTGCTGTAGTATCGAAGGATTTGACGGTACCACGGGCACCGGATTAGTTATAATAAATGGTTGTAAATTGATATTGTGTTTATGTTATTTGCTGTTGTTATTATTGTTTTTAGTTTTTGTGGTTGGTAACTTACCACAAAATCTTCTACAATATACTTAAATTTCGTTTTTATATGAGCGCACGCCTATGGTAAAAGAACGAAATTGGCTCCGCACTTCGTTCGATGTCCCCGAGAACTATGTGAATTCATGAATGAAAGTAGTGGGAGTGGACTTACTGGTGGATTTTTACTATGATTATATCTCAACCAGTAGTCAAGAATTCACCATGCAAATTTTCCCTACAAACCTGCAGTCATTTACAAACTTGAATACTATATAATCATATCAAGTGGGGGGAGATAGTTCAGCCTCAACTTTTCATAAATAACAAGCATGTATGGAAATTTGGTAAAATAAAAAAGAAATTTGGTATTCGGCATTACATTCTCAATTTAGACTGTGATAAAACCATGAAAAGGCATATAAATCAGTTGAGGTCCACCTTAGTTAAAGGGCCTCAGAAAAATGTGAGTTTTGGTTCTACTCAATCATCTGGATCATCAATATCTTCTAACCGATTTTATTCTGTTTCAGTAACAGATACTACATCTTTTGTTACTTCTGGGAAAACCACTGCTAGATCTAAACATTCTACAGAATCTGTTTTCCCAGGAAAATTCATCGCTATATCTAGACAATCTGGAAGAGAAAGGCGAAAGCCTGCATGGACTCGAGATTACCAAATGTGAAGTTTTCGTTAAATATTTTATTTTTTCACATGAGTTATTTTCAACATTTGCTAGTTCCACTCTGATTCCCAAAAATCTTACTTTGCGGTAAGTATTTGTTATTATAGACAAATTTTTCTGTCAAGGGATTTATCATGATGCGCTCAAAATATCAAAATCTGTCCCTATCTATAAAAACAAAGGATCTAAAAATGAAGTAAACAACTACAGAAACGTATGTTTGCAATCACAATTAGCAAAAATAATTGATTATAGCTACATATGAGATTAAGTAAATTCACTGAACATCACAAACTTAATCCTGATTGCCAGCACGGCTTTAGGCAGAAAAGATCAACATCTTCTGCGATAAATGAACTCTGATCACATATATATGGACCTAAATAAGAAGCAATTCCCAGTCTGCTTATATTTTGATCTTACTTCTTGAAAAACTTTACCGAATGGGGATTAAGGGGTTAGCCAATGACTGGGTTGCCTCATATCTAAAAAACAGAATGCAGGTAGTAGTTATTGATTCGATAAAATCAGAACCTGCCCTTGTTACAATGGGAGTCCCACAAGGATCAACACTGGCCCCGCTATTTTTCATAATTTTTATGAGTGATATAGTACTTGCATCTTTGTCACCAAATAAAACTATGACATATGCAGATGATATAAGCCAAATAGTAGCAAAAAACAACCTTCCACTCTCGATAGAAGTCGCAAACAAAACTGCAGAAGAATTATCACACTGGTGTAAAAATAATGAATTACTAGTTAATACAAATAAAATAGTCTTCATGCTCTTCCATCAAAAAAATAGTTCATATGATTACAGTCCTCTCAAAAGAATCGATCATAAATCTATACAGTAGGTCAGTCATATTAAATACTTTGGACTTACAATTGATCAAAAACTGACTTGGGAAGTACATGTAGAAAATCTAGCCTCAAAAATGAGTAGCTTATGTTTTGTAATGAGGCAGTTACAGGGAACTGCTTCATTGCAGGTACTCAAACTGACGTATTTTGGATTCATACAGTCTGCAATGCCTTATGGGCTGGCCTTTTGGGGAAATTCTGCCCATATGACAAAAGTATTCACTGTGCAAAAAAGGATAATGAGATGTATGGCAGGTCTACGCCACAGAGAATCCTGTAGAAGTACCTTTACTGAACTGGCACTCTTAACATTACCTTCACTGTATATCTTCATAATAACAATGAATATCAAGAAAAATGAATCAAGCTACATAAAAAATAACTTGATACATAAACATCACAATCGGAATGGTAATGAACTGCGATTACCCTACTCTCGACTGGCTCTTGGTCTGGGATCCTCAAGTTATCAGAGTATCATCTGCTATAATAAGGCACTTCAGCTATTTGGAAACATGTGTTTAAAAAAAATCTGATTTTCCGTTAACCAGCTATCGCACCCCTACGAACGACAACCCTCAGAAGTCGAAACTTGTGCGAGCTAAAGATTTACGAGGTGTTAACTTTCAACGTGTGATTCCTAACACGTTTCACTGAATTCCAAAGTGCTTTACTTGACTACCTTACAAAAAATGCATTTTATTCTACTGAAGAATTTCTACAACTCTAGGTATTATTCTATAATTACTTTATTTTACTCGTACAAATATATAGGTTTTACAATTTTAACTAATTTAAGCTAATCACCGTTATTGCATCTTTTTCATATGTGTATTTAACTGCTAACATGTATGTAGACATTGTAACTATAAATAAGCGCAGTTGCTTTATGTTCTGTTCTGACTAGTCTGATAAAGTTTTATATCTGTATGTACTACATGAATGTCTATTCTATTCTATTCTATGATGACTTATTCACCATGAAATATATGTTTTTTACTCTGTTTTGTAATTTGTGAATACGAATAACTACTGTTTCACCTGCAGTGAAGAATAAATCATCGTTATCGAAGTAATTTGATATCTGGCTTACTATTCTGGCACATTTGTTTTCTAATTTTTTGTATTTGGTGCAAATATCACCAGTGAAAGTCATCTGCATGAGTGGTTTAATGACCTCCAGTAACTGCCGATTCGATGTTATGTGGCACACCCATACTCAGATTCAGATAACCAGAACTGACTCTATAAATTTTATTAATTCGTTTGATTAGTATTCACACAAATTGTTTTATATTTTCAAAAAATATCAGCCAACTGAGAGAACCCCCTCTTATACCATATATTTCCAATTTGGAGATAAGTTTTTAATGATTAACCCAGTCAAATGGTCTACTTAAATCACAAAGAATCACGGCTGGGCATACCTTACCGTCCACCATACTAAAATTTTGTTTAATAATGAAAACATTGCCGTAATTTAATGTAATGAAATCAATGCAGCCTTTTACTTAATGAAGAATGTTTATTTAAAAATGAACAGAGGTGTGTTGGTTCCATTTTTTTTGAAGGAATTGAAGTTTTCATTTGAATTCATGTCAAAGTTGGGATCACTGCATCTTCAGAAAGAGCGTTTCACCAAAATTAAATGTGAATTGAAGCATGCTCTTAGAGATATGGTTGAAAACTCACCTATTCCTTTTAAAAACAATCCATACTGTAATCTACTATAATGTTTGAGGTGGTGACTGCTCTTGAAAACATGGTGCAAATGACTCATGCATAACGGGAAATTCTTCTTTGCATAGATATCCAGACTAGCTGGGTCAATACCCTCCTTATCGCTTTCATGTATGTAATTTCTACCAGTGTAAGCATTGTGTAGATTGGTTAACAAGGAATTCAGTCGATCATCATCAATGGATGACAGTCGATGGCTGTATATCTAAAAATTTCAATTTTGAAAATCCTCTACTGGGATTAAATGTTGATGAAAGATTAATGAAATCATAACTCACATTCAGCGCTTCATTGAGACTTGCTCTAAATTTGGACTGAACACAAACTATCAAATCGCTAGTGAGTATGTATGCATAACCTCGATGAAGATAAACCCTCCTGTTCTTGACCAGTGGCAAGACTTCACTGAAATTTACTTTATAGATGTCGCTTGCATCACAAGAAACATTAGACATACCTAGAAAAATCATTTACATATTCTGTTAACATTACACTAACATGTTATAAATACTTAAAGTAGGTACTTATTTTTTCATTAGGCAATTGGTACATATGCTGAGTATTAACACAATATAAGGAGAAAACAGATCATTAAAAAAAAGCAATAGGTATAATTCACATGGACAAATCATTCACAACACAGAAATTTATGTCAATAATAGTTCATTGCATTGAATAATATAGGGGGCATCTAAAATGGGTCGTTTTATGTAGAGAAATTCCTAATAGGTTACCACGGCGGGCGTCTCTGACATATAATTATTTCTAATTTTTTGTAGAGAAGTCAATGTTTCTAACCTTACACAATTTGAAGAGAAAAAAAAACAAGGCCAAATCAATAGAGAACCTGGTAAATCTGCAAAACCTAAAAAATTCACTAGCGAACAACATCTGAGATATTTTTCACAAGTGAATTTTTCAAGTCTTGTGAATGGAAAGAGAATTACTTTCCAAAAGGTTAACTATCTATTTCAAAATAACCATTTCAGTCATTTTTACGCTCATTAATTCCTATTCCAATTGATACTTGTCCATTCCATCTCAATCAATAGAAAAATGCTAAATAAAATTTTAAACTGGCTCACAAAAAAATGACTAACCAACTACAGCAAACTAAAAAACTACAATACAGGGTGATACAAATATCAAACTAAATCATCTTTCATCAGATCTACTCAAAATTCAGTCTGAGCAGAAATGTGATGAAATAATAAATTTAGTCAGAGACAATTCTGAAAACAGAAATTTCTCAAAATCCAGACTCAAATAAGTTCTGAAATTATAAATTTGGTCAAAGACGATTCTGAAAATAGATCACATACATCAGTGAATACCCAGAATTGGAGAATAGCTCATAACGGATACAAATAATGAATACTTGACAATAAAAGGGAAAATAGAAGATGGTAAACCTTTATGTGTGTAAAACTGAATTAATTGTATATTCAGAAGAACTAAGAAAATTTCTTGCCGTTAATTTTCCAGAAGTACCCTGTGAAAAACTAAATTCAGTTTTCATAAATATATGCCCCTTTGAAGGTAACCATAGCACAATGAAATTTTAGACCTGCCATGGACACCAGTAAATGGCCAGTGAATTCTTTCATCGGATATTTTTTACAAGGGAAAGAGTCTGAGATGAAAATCAATCCATCAGTCTTTTAATCCCAGAGTGCTAGTGATGAATGTAGGAGGAATAAATCATATGAAAGCTGATTAATTATTTATATATGTTCATCTGTCTTAAGGAATTTAGATATTCTCTGTTTAACTGAAATTTTTTTCAGAAAAAACTGTATTGATAATATCAAAATTGATGGATATGAATATAGCTAATTTTTTTGGTAGATTGGATTATCCGTGTGATGGCGTTTGACAGTGTTGTATCCTTGATAATTGTCAAGCTCGAAAATGCTCAATAAATCCTACTTTTAGTCGGGATAAACTTTTATTGACTTTTCTTTGACAAATCATCAGTAACTACTCAAAAATTTTATTTTGTTATCTACAAGGTCATATTATAAACAATTCAAGGCAAACTAATTGAAAGATGAACAAATCAATATAATATAACATTCTCCCCCCGCTGGAGGAATTACTTTTCCTCTAGCTCCAATCTGAAATTTTCGTGACTGGGCGCCTATATTCCGAAGTTTCAGAGAAGAAACTCTCGTTTTCGCTGAGATAAGACAGACATCAGTTCTGTCTTCTCCAATGACGCGAAGAAAGCTAGCTGCTGATAATGCTTTCTCACTACTATCACAAAATGTGTGAATTTCGATTCGTAATGCTGATGGAATCAATGGACTATATATAGCATTTTGGAATTTTTATCTGTACAAGCAATGAGAAGTTTTTCAAGTAACAAATCATCCCAATCGATTCCTACTCGCCAAATATCTTGCATCAGTATTTTACCTCTCACCGTGAAAGTAGAGATCAAACCTAGCGGGTCGTATACCAACATCAAAGCTCGCAAAACCTTCCTCTTTGTAGGTTGTTCCGCCACTAAGTTTTCTGAAGTCAGTCTGAAGGAAAATTCGTCGTTTTCGGGATCCCAGCATAAGCCTAATATTCGATGTAAGGAAGTGTCATCCATATTTTTTGTAGCCGCCAGTAATATATCATCAGATAGCTTATCTCGAATCAGTTAGGAGTTTGTCATCCAGTTAACTACTTCGAATCCGGCAACCTTCTGGACTTTACATACTTCTGTTATCGTTTCTAGTGCTTCTTCTTCAGTGTCTTTTGAAATAAAGTAGTCATCTACATAGAATTTCTTGATAAAAGCTGTTCGGATGCCTGGATTCGTAGAAAATGTCTCAGCATTTGTGTTTTTTACGAATTGAGCACATACGGGCTAACAGGTTGCTCCAAAAGTCATGACTAACATTTCATATATCAGGAGATCTGTCGCTTTCCAAATTTCGCCAAAGGAATCGTTGAGCACATCTATCTCGTTCTTGTATTCCTACTCTATGGAACATCTCTCGAATATCTCCAAAAAAACCGAAACGCCTTTGTCGAAATTTCCATAAAATTGCAACCAATGACTGCAACAAATCTGGACCAGAGAGTAGAGCATCATTCAAGTTTATATATCTTGATTTTGCTGCGGCATCAAAGACTAGCATGATTTTATTCGGCCTGTTGGGATTTTCTACAGCGAAATGAGGAAGATACCAAGAATGAGGATTGTCAATTTTCTCTTCCTCTAAGCTCAACTTCTTTATATATCCTTTCTCTTCATATTTCATAATTTTCTTGCAATATTTCTTCCCAAATTTTTCATTCAGACAATATTTTCTTTCGACACATTTTAGTCTTTTGAGTGCCATGAATTTACTTTCAGGTAGCTGTATGTTATCGGTTGTCCACAATAAACCGATTTCGTAGTTTTTTCCGGTGTACTTTAAGGTGTTTCTCATCAGTTCTAATGCTCGTGAACTTTCACGAGATGCGTTCAAAGTACCAGATGTTTCGGTCAGATAAGATTTTTCTACCATCTTCTGCAGCTCTTCATCAGTCGTCTTTTCTTCACAAATCTGTAAAGTATGGGCTTTGAAAGAGTTTTCCCTGCTATTTGGACTTGGTCCGTGTACAACCCAACCTAACTTACATTTATTGGCTACAGGAAGATTTTCTTGGCCAGTTCTCATCTGTCTCGCAAATATCAGATGTATGTTATCTTGTCCAATAAGCAGTGAAGATTTTTCATGATCGATATCTTTTATTGGAACACCTTTTAGATGTGAAAACTTTTTCCAGTTGGATATGTTGATGTGTTGTTCAGGTAACGACATATGAGTGACAGTTTGGACTCTTTTCATAGTAAACATTCCATGACATTTTCGTTTGTCCATTGTAGACAAAGTGATTCCTTTGTTCCAGTTAGCCCAAGTGTCTCTGTTACTTCTGCATTTAATAGTGTCACCGTAGACGCCTCATCACAAAGAGCGAGAATAGGGACAATACCTCGTGGACCGTATTATTTTATACGAATGACTCTCAGAAGAATCGTCGAAAAATGTTTGTTGACAGAACATACTCTTCCTCGATTATCATCATTAGTATCTCTTCCTATCGCTGCCTGGTTGCTATTGACTTCTAATTGTTTGTGTAATAGAGGATGATGATGAAGTTTACAGCCGTTTGTTCCATAAACCTTCCTCTTTTTTACATTTGAATTTTTGATGATTCTTTTGAAGGCAACTGAAACATAGTTTTTTTTCGGTTACCGTTTCCCATCTTTTATTCAGGTCATCATAATTCATTTGTGGACAAATGCTTTCTTAGTGTATTTTATCACAATAACCACACCTCTTGTGAGTGTTTTGGGTGTGAGTATTGCAGACCCTTTCATTTCTCTTCATTTGATTTGTGAATTTCTGTGAGAATGTTTCATTGCGTGGGGTACTAACATTACACGCAAAGCTTGCTTTCTCGTTCAACCACAAAGAGAAATCTTCTAAATTGATATAGCACTTTTTCATTCCAACCTTTTCACCCCAGGATAATTTCATTGAATCCGGAATTTTCATCAGTAACTCTCGAATAAATTGAGGATTTTCGAGATAACGTTTACTTCCTAGTCTCTTCATGATCGAAACCATGTTGCTCACCTCTGCAGAATAATGAATCAGCTTTTCAAAGTTATTTTCTCTTATGGAAGGAAGGATACTGATTCTGTTCATCAAAGTATCTGTGATGTATTCAGGTCTTCTGAACCGTTTCTCTAAAATTTCAATCACAAGGTCTACGTTATCGGCAGTTAACATCAAACCTGCAACTGTTGTCTTTGCTTCCCTTTTTAGAAATCTCTGCAGCTTCAGCATGATCTCTTCATTGCTGTAGTCACAAAACTTGCGAAGATTCTTGAAATACTTATGGAACAGGGGCCAATCTTGGGGACTGCCATCAAACTGTGGAAAATCCTTCTCTAATACTTTTCGCATGTGAAATTTATTCGGATTCATTACTTCATGTGACGTTGGGCTTTGAGTTGTTGAAGCTGGGAGAGAAAACGTTCTGAGAACGTTTGCAACAGTTCCGCAAAGCTGTTGTATGTCTTGTGATGTGATATTTCCTGGTTTCTCTTCGAGAAATTGTCCTTCAACCTTGAGTATGTTACCAGTGGGTTTCTCAGTTTTTTCAGAAATACGTGACAGATTTTCTTTTCTATCATATTGAAATTGTTCAGATGTGTAATCTATCAATTGAGATACTCTGTTGCTTTGTTCTTGTTCTTTAACTAATTCTCTCCTGATATTTTCGCACCTTGCTTCTGCTGTCCTCTTCTTGGGCATCTATCTCGGCTTCATGTAATTTTTCTTCGAGTTGAAGAAGGTGTAAACTATCAGCTATTTCCTTCTTCTTCAACTCTCTACGGTTCTTTTCTTCCAGTTCTAGCTCTCTGGATTTTCTTTGAAGCTCCCGTCTTTGTATTTTTATTTTTAGAGCTATTCTTTCCTTTTTCAAATCCAAACTACTTCATCGAGATAGTCCGGTATCCCTTGAGGTTCTCAAATGAACAGACTGCTTCGGGTAAACCTCATGTATCAAGGAAGTTGACTCGCCAGATTTATCTTCAACGTTTTTTTCATGTAGTTTTTCTAGATTGGATTCTGGTTTCTCACGACTTCCAAATCCGTTTGGCCATACATAGTCCGATGGCAGACTTTGATTCAGACCTTATAATACTTTATTTTCCATGTAGACAATATACATTGCACAATATTATTAAATTATTTTGAAGTACCTAAATTTAGGATCAAATATAAAACACATTAAGTACTCGATTAAAATATCAGGATACTCCATGATAGATAAAATACAATGTGTAAATTCTGATAAGAATGAATATAGAATAAAATGTTAGAATTAAAGTAGTGGTTGGATTACTGATTTTGCAAAAATTAAGAAAACCTGCAATTGTTATCCACACATGCTTCAGTGACATAAATAGGATTTTCAAAATGTCCTGGCCTAGGATAATGGATAACATTTTGTCTGTCTGAACTGACGTTTGAGATTTGAAGATGAATTCAATATAATTCAAAATGGCAATGAACTAGCAGTTTTGCTTTGTGCCTAGGTATTGCCAGTTTCCCAGCAAAATTCTAGAAATGTGATGAAATTGCCGCTACTTGAAGAAACTCCATGAAAACATATTCTTCTTTTGAAGAAGTTACTGTATGGTAAAAAACACTGTTCAGGGAAAATCTCAGTTTGAAGTGTTATTTAGGTATGTTGATTTCTAAAAGTGAAATCTATCAAGTTGATAGTGTGTAATGTATGTACATGAAGAATATAAATGATAGCTGCCCCTGACAAAAACTGATAAAATTGAGCATTTATGAAAGCCGTTCTTGTAAAAACCTTGCTACCTACCTGGGGTAGACAAAATCAAATCATTTTTAAGCTGATCTCTTTCTTCTGTAGAAATATGCTGGTATGTTAAATTATTGAGCTCTAAAAATTGGGTGATACTTTGGGGAGTCTGAATAATAAATCTTAGTTTGAACCACTCCAACTCTCTACTTAGAAACCATCTCCGTAGATCCTCTGATCTGCAATACGCCAAGCGTAAAATGTAGTGGGAAAGATGGTCCGCTCTTCTTGCTTGAACATCTAGCTCACTTTTTCTGAAAGTACAAACAAAAGTGATTTAATTCTTCAGGAGGGAGTTTTTTTACCCATTAGCACCTCTCATTAATCTCATATATTTTTTCAAACCATGTTTAGCAAGGTCTTCATTGATTGATTTTCTCCATTCCTCTGAGAACTGTTTGTGGCCCCTGAGAGAAGCCTCTTCTATTATTCGTAACAGTTGTAGTCTTTCTAATGCCAGTTCTTCAAATTCATGTAAAGGGATATTATGCTGAGGATGGTCCTTATACATATAAACATCATGGTTATAAAGTTCACTTTCAGTTTGGCTAATTACAGTTTGTCTGACTTTCCTTCTTCTAGCTGTAGTATCCATATTCAAAGATAGAAAAAATCACTTTAACATTTGTTGAGAAAGTATTGAAAATCTCCCGCCACTTTCATTAACCTCCAATCATTCTTCTTCTTCACATCGTTAGTTGGCCATATGCGTTCTATAGAATTGGTATAAAAACATAGGAAGTTTTACTTCTCATTTTTCATGATGAAGAAGGGAATTTTTAATATCGAAAAATTATCAATTCGAAGGTTTCATTCAGTACCTCACAAGTAAATACTGAGAGCTCATTATAGCGGTAGGTTTCCTTTACTCACTTTTCTTTGGCAAACGCCACTCGATTATATTGCCCATCCGGCGCTGTATATAGTAACATCAAAGAAGGAAAACAATACATATATTATACAATTGTTATCTGCTTGCACCGTGACGGCGAAATCCCAATCTTTTTCTATTTTGAAATTATTGAGACTGGTGCCATTGAAATATTTCATTTGAATAATATCGACAATTAAACAAGTTGAAAGTATGATCTAGTACTACTAATCGATTACTACACTGACGGATTCATCTGGAATCAGTAATTACCAAAAAAGTTTTCAGTGCGAAAATTTTATAATCATCATGAATAGTCAAAGCAGATATTGGCAGAAAAAAATATACCACTATAGAAATTGAACACTGAGAATAGCTGGTTGGCTTGATAATGATTATTTTAAATAACATACTGTTGTACATGCTAATTGTACTAGAAAAACAACCGCTTCAAAAATTCCTGTCAGTTTTACGTCAACCGCTGATGATAGCAAAAGCCTTAGATTAGGTAAAAGAGGGGATACATAACGCCAACCTCTGCGTACGAATCGAGTTTGTGACCGATTTCCGAGTGGCCGCCATATTGTTGGTGCTAAACATTGATCTTGGTGCTTGTTCGATTTTGTGCAATTATTGAGTGTATTTTGAACTATTTTGTGGGTGAGTACTGTATAAACATGGTGAAGTGCTCATCTTACTATTGTAGTAGTAATAGCGAGAAAAAGGAAACCGGTATATCATTTCACAGGTGAGAAAACATCAGTACATTTAGGAACAGTAGGCCAAACATGGATATTATGTGAAAACTATGTATGCAAATGTCTAGATTTTCAAGTATGTAACTCAGTGGTGGATAATCTACGGTTAAAGAAGATTTCAGTGCTTACTTTGTGAATTTTCATTCATAATTTTATGATAGATTGCTAGTTAGCGCAACGCGCGTCAAGTGCAAATATATCAGTTTTGGTGTTAGGGTAATTAATATCTAGAAGTAGTTTCAACTTTTACACCAAAGGTTCCAATCTCATCGTTTATAGGTGAAATACCTATAACAATACACCGGAAGTCTTTTATTTATTTATTACTTTTACTCAAGACTCCATATGATAAGGCGATAAAATAATTCAGTCCATACTGCTTTGATATATAGATTATGGAAGGATTATGTCTTGAACCCTTCTCATAGATACGCCACTGGCGTTTAGCGTTTGGTGCAGATTTGCCTCAGCATGCTGTTGGTTGTTACGAGTCCATATATCTTTCCTTGTCTAAGGCAAAAGCCGACAAGTAGTATCTAGTTTCGCTACTAGATGCCACCTCATCCTTTGATTGCTCAAATTTTCATTTTTCCAATGTATACTTTTTGAAATACTTCGTATTATTTTACCCAAGGGTGACAAAAAGCCAGTCAAGAAATCGTTTATTCGATTTTTATCTCTGAATTAACCAGGACGTTAATTTCGATGAAACGGTTAATAGAATTTTAAATATCAGAGATCAGTGATAGTTTTCAAAATAGAAATGCACACAGAAACTGATGTCCATCTTCCTGTGAGTATTTACGCAAATCATCAGGTGAGTTTCATTCAACTCAATATTTATAGAATAAGTATTTTTGAGAAACGGAAGCAATAAAAATCCTCCGCCTATAGTTCACATATATGTCACAAAAAATTTTTATTTTGAAACAAGTCTTCAAAGTAGTGAAAGGTTTTCTTCTCTACTTCCAAAATTTTGGGATCAGAATCATGAACAGAAAATAAACTTGAAGGTTGTGGTTATTAACACAACTACGGGTGGTGTCTCTTACTGAGGCTCCGTGAACGTAATATTCCTTATCAATTTTAGTTTATAAGTAGAAGTCGTTTCGGATTTTTTTATGTCTTCAGTCTAAAAATGAAACCTCTTTATTTTCTTGCTCATATATACTTATAATTAAATGGAATTTGATCGTACACATATATCATGAGCCTGGCAAAATGCGCTCGAATGAGAAGCAACGGCTCTAGAGAGAGAGAGAGAAGCAGAGCTTTCTTTAGGTGAGAAATCTCCGTAGGGCATTTTTTAGGGAAAAAATGAATAACTGATATCAACACAAATGAAGAACAGGAAGCTGATGAGTTTTTCGAAATTATTGATGAATTTGGAATTAATATAATATAAGTATTCATGCTCTAGTGCTATTCTTCCACTCAACCATCAATTATCAAGTATAAAACTAACGGGGTTAATCCCGAAACCACAGTATTTCTGTATACAGTAGTTTCACTCAGCGTCGGTCCCTTTGATGTCGGTGTCTCATCGACTGTATTTTTTTGAGCAGTTTATATGAATATTTGTTATGTTGAGCAGTGTTTAAACGCTTTGATTGCATGCCTGTCTTAAACTCGTCGTTTGCGCAGACCTAAGACATCGACGCGTGGGTCTGCGCGTAGGAAACTTCAAACCACAAATCAGCCTTTATGAAATTACTGTATACAAAATACTGTGCCGAAACCGGTTGTATAAATAAAATTAACTAGTGGAAATTAGACAAAAGTGTTTTTATTCACTTCATTAAAGTTTTTATAAACTACCACAAAATAAACAAGTCATCAATCACACATATTAATAAAAAAGTATCATTAAAATTATTATATTCAGAAAAAGTGAGCTATCCTTTTGACGAGTATATTCATTGACGCCAATTCTCTAGAGTGCTATGTTTTCAAATAAAAGACAGCTAAGATTTGAAGATTGTTTTGTTTTATTCGAATATAGTCATTGGTACAGTACAGCCACGATTTATATTTTTTGAAACTAAGTGATGGCGCATTACTATTAATTATTCTTTATTGAAGGAAAGTTTCTACGGTTTAAATTCTTTTTTACCACATATATTCGATTTGACACTGTCGGTGTTTCTTAGTTCGGAATAAATCTATTTTCCATCGTAATTATAAATCTTGACTCCAAATTGGAAATTGCCAATATAGTTATGTGTAATATTCCACATACTGAAATATTCAAATTGTGAGATACCGAAGTTAAAAAATGGAATATAAAACATGTTTTTATAGAATAATTAATAAAATTCTGACGAATGTCCAAAATCGTAATATGGGGTTATTACTATTAGTGCTACGGCACTACTGTACTACTACTACTGCACTAATAGTAGTAGCCGGACATCGGATCAGTAGCCACGTCGTTTCGATTTCGTTAGTTTACCGAGTTTCTCGGATGCACAAATTGATGACGCAACTGACGTGACGTAACCCAAATGTAAATTTATCGATAATAGGGAGGTACTATTTTTTTTGAACAATCTGTGTCATACTCTGCCTGAAGCAATATTTTAACATATTTTGTAACAAAAATTTTCCTTGGAATATGTGATAAGAATTTATATTTGGGCAAGAATTGAAAGCGTACATAGGTCCAACATACATCACTGTATATTTGGGGAGTATTCCAGAACGCCGGTTCTTCAATAAAATATTGTTTGAAAGAGTAAAATTTGAAATCTTTGGAAGGGAACCAAACGTACCCTTGAAATCGAGAGTTACGTCAGTCGAACACTTCTCGGCAGAATGTTTATAGAAGACCTCAATCTCTCAATGCTATAAACTAATATATAAACAGGGTGAGCCAAATAAACGAAACTCTTATAATTGACGTTAGAAAAATATCGTTCGAATCCGTCTATCGTTAATTTTTTCTTTCAAGCAAACTTTTAACCTTATCATCACTTACACCCTCTTGGCATGGTGCGATACAACCCTTAAATATTGAATGGGATTAGGGTTCAAACGAAATACCTTGTTAAAAAGGTGTCATTGATTTCATTTTTCAACACTACCTGTCAAAAGAAGGAACATAGTCAGGACCTTGCCAAAGAAAATCATTAAGACTCACACCTTGAGTTTTTGTCGCAGCGTGAATTCAACTCTTATTTCAATTATGATTTATTGATACCCAAACTGGGCGCACGGAAAGTCAAAAAACAAGCATCCCCATACAGTGGCAGCGCAAGACCTGAATTTAATGTGGGGGGCAAGGTACATTTTGCGAGGCCCGCTGATGGTGCATGAAGAAGGGTTTATAAATTGAAAAAAACACTTGAAATTAAACAATTTTTAATTCATACAGAAACATTTTACAAACATTTTTACTTATGTTGGTACTTTTTTGAAACATTAAACAACGACATAAAAAATAAAAAAACCCGACTCAAAATTAATAAAAAAAACACGATGTCTTGGTCGCCGCATTAAAACCCTAGTCAAAGTCACTGACTTAGTGGCTATTTTCTCACTTTCCTTCAATCGATAATTTTTTTTTCTTTTTGCTGAATCAGATTCCCATTTTCTCCCTTTTAAGTCAATCTGTCTTAGTGCCTAGCCTGACATGATTGATAAATTATGAAGAATGCACCAATATTGTATCGGTAAGCTGTAAAATAAGTTAAAATAACATTTGCAGGTAGGTACTTGTTTCTTTCCTTGAGTATAATTACCTTAAAAAGTGGACTGGAAGACTGGATGATTATAATACATATTACCTGTTGTGGAATTGGCCACGGTGGTAGTACGCCCGATTGGAAGACCGTGGGTTCGATTCCTGCCTCGATCAGATATTTTTCTCGAGAGAATTTATCTAGTTGATGCTGGGATGATTCTGCAACCGAGTTAGAAATCACACGTTAAAAGGTAAGACCTCGTTAGTCCTTGGCTCGCACAAGTTTCTCAACTTCTGAGAGTTGTCGTTCGTATGGAGGCGACAGCTGATTAACGGAAAAACAGATTTTAAACAGATTTTTCAGTATTTCACTAATAATAAATAAACATTGGACATATGACTGGTTTCCTTGCTTGAAATTATTGGTAACTTTTCAAAATAAATGTAATAAATGTTTAATATAATATAATACGCATAATGAAAAAAAGAAGGTGGAGTCTAGCGCAACAAATTGAAGATATGAAACAAAATAATATACACAATTTTTATCGTGTATTGTTTTGTAAAAAAAATAAAATAAATGTGAATGCAAGTATGATTGATTAATATAATAAACATAGGTATTATTATTTTTCTTCACAATACATTTTGAATTTCTACTTATTAAATACATGTTATCGTTTTGAAACTATGTAACACTATTATTTATGCTCACATTCGTCTGCATGCCATACTTTGATTGGCTTTCTTTTAAGGGGTCTCTGACTGGGGATTCCCCGTGATAGCAGACTAACGTCAAGTAATGTTCCAGACTAAATAAAAACGACTGATCAGAATCGACGAATATGAGAATATTTCAATTATTCAATTTTATGATACAATGAAGTTTATCAAAAAAAAAAAAATTATGAATTTTTCATTCATATGCTTGTATGCGCCGAAAAGTGGAATATTTTCAAGTTGAGAATTTTCTAATGTATTGATAATGAAAAAACTCATGGCGTGTACTTTTGGATTTCCAATAGTTTTTCAAATTTATGTTCGGCTTTAAGGCGCGAGGCCCTTTGCACCGCCCACTGTAAGCACCCAGTGACGGTTTGTACTGTAGTAAAAAAAAACCAAATTTTGAATATTCCTTTTGTGATTTATGAAAAACTATATTTTTTCATGAAAACTACAAAACGCTACAAAACATGTATTTCTTTTAAACAGTACTGTATTCTAGAAACCCGATATACCATTCGTTGAGAGTGTCTTTCGACCCGTTATTTTCTTTTAAGAAGTTGGTCAGTATAATAATTACTGGGAAAACCATTTCTAATACGATATACTTACCTGCCCAGGTAAGTGGTCTTCAGTGCTTCAATCGTCAGTACAAAATCAGTTGATAAACAATTAAAGTGCGAATAAATTACTTTGATATCGATTACGAGTAACAATATCTCATGCGATAAGGCGGGTTTACGTATATAAAAAGCCGCAATCACCTTTCGGCAAATCACAATCTAATTAACACCCTACAAGGTGTACGTATATTACTTGCTTATATCAAAGCGTTTGAGAGTCATCACATCTCGAACATATAAATCGGTTCAAAGATATGTAAACAAAATAATAACGTACGTAATCAGAAATTAGGGTCATTATTATTTTTTTGTCGATCGACTCGTGGATGGATCAAAGTATTAAGATTTAGTGGGGTTCGATCTCGGTAGTTCGGTAGTTTTTTGAAGTTGGACAACATGGCTCATAGTGAAAAAGAAAGATTGGAATACGATATGAACGGGTACGTTTCTTTCAATTATTATGTAATCGCCTTGAACCGTTTGAACAGTTTATTTAACCTTTTTGTCAACTTGTCCTCTGGTTAGCAATTGAATCCAACTAGGTACAAGTTCGATGTTCGTGGTGAATCTGAATGATTGTACACTGAGAAATAATAATACTGCAGTTGTTTTTGAGTTTTTCATGATAGCTACTAATTCCAGATTTTTTTTTGACTATTTAAGTGAAAGGTTTTGTTTTTAATAATAAATACACTTTGCCGTCCTTCATTACTTTAAAAATTTCTGATGATTTTTCATCAGAATCTACGTTTGAATTCAAATATCTAGCTGTGATTATTGACAGTCACCTCAAGTGGAATAAGCAAATCGCGTTTGTGATAAAAAAACGACATTTTTTAATTCACAAAAACTCAGATATATCTTGAACAAAATCCAACTGGAAACAGTGTATCACGCATTAGTGGAATCGCATATAGCTCATGGAATAGTAGCTTGGGGGGCAGCCGGAAAAATTATTAATAATTTACTGAGACAGCTATTTTTTTCAATTTGAATGTTGTACAGCATAAAACTAAATCCACTCTGATGACTAATGAACACCTCTATAACACAAAACAGAAACACATTACTTACTTGCCTCTTCCAGCTTTAAAGTTTATCGGGCAGAAGAATTTTAAATTTTTGGGTCCGAAACTCTACGGACGCCTTCCGCAATATATCACAGAAATTAATAATATCGAACAATTCAAAAAAAGTTGAATGAAGTTATATCAAATCGACCTCGTGTGTTGATGTACATCTACGAATCGAAAACCCTTTCATGATATAGTACTTCGGTCAACAGTAAGGTCCCTTCTGGTTATAAACCCATTCTATGATATATATTTTCTGAGATATATTGCTTTGTCCATGCATGTGTTAATATGTGAAAATCACTGTCTAAAACACTAGTTATATTTTTCATTTTTACCTCAAGTGTACGTTTTTCTTGTATTTTATAATTTATTTTTATGCATCACTTCTAGATATTTGGAATAATGCCTTTGTATTATATTTACGATTTATACTTATTACCCTGTACTTTTTCAACCTATACAAGAATTTGATTTCTCACAGTTTTCACCACTTTGTTGTTCATTATTTAGGTTAGCTTATGATACTTCTATGTTGTAAAGATTTCCTTTGTGCAATACAATTATTATTATTATTTATTATTATTAATGGAAGGCCCTGAAGTCAATAGTTTTTTGACAGGAAACTGTATATAAGTTATAAATATATACATTTATAACCCCGGGTTTCACTCCGTTTTCGTTTTATGATTCTCATAAGGATTATATCCACAACGTTTTGGCAAAGTCTCATTTGCCATCTTCTGGTGACATCTGGAGTTTAGAACTAGACTGATTCACTCCCTCTCCTGCCCCCTCTTGGGTTGAGTGCCCTGAAGTAGAAGCTTCCCCCCCCCCAGCTAGTAAGCGAGGAGAACCTACTACCTCACTCCATCCACCCCCGCTCTCCGAGCAGTCGTCAACTTACTAATGGGCACTCCAGCAAGATTGACATCTGACGATCTGACCTCTTTTGGTCGAAAGTCAGCCTTTAGGTGCTATTCTTTCGCGATCGGTTAAGACTGATTCACTCGAACTCTGTCCCTTGATTTATAGGGGCGGATGCTACCATTTACTTGGGTTGCCTCCCCACTACCCGTGTTGACCCGATTACCTGTGCTAGCCCAATTACCTTTGTTGACCCGATTACCTGTGATGTCCCACCTGCCTTTGCTATTGTACCTGAATTATCATGTGCTAAGTTTTGCTTTTGAGGTTGTGCGGTTAACTTCTTCATTCTACTAGGTTGTTTTTCAATTTCGATAGCCTCTCTGATTGTTAGAGAGTAGCTCTGCAAAACGTATCGGATGCCTCGAAAAATTCCGAAAATTTCTTAGAAATTCTATTTACCAGAATTTTATGGATAGTAGTTATTACACAAGAAATAAACTATATCTGTATCGGTCAAAGAACGGCGTATTACGTATTGATTCAGCAGAGTCAGCGTCGACATTGATCTTTACTCCGTCACCTAGGGTATGAATGGACAAGGTCAATAAACATCATACATCATTCTTGTATCTACTTGAATCACCAGCAATGTCAAAATAACTAATAATCTTACGCTTGAGAAAGCTATTGTATAACGAAACACGTGTCTTGGTTTTTGTAAAACATTTTATAGTGAAAATCATACAATAAATTGTATTAATGAGTTTTAATATGGATTTTCATCAAGTATCGGCCAGTTCTATTCAATCTGATAAGGTGAGACTGCTTTAAAAAAGTTGTCGTACTACAGAGAATGGTATGGGCTCAAGAATATTATTGTAAATTAACAATAAACGTTTAATAGTTCTGTTAAACGTCCAATTTTGTACGTTCACTATAAGTCATTATATTCTGCAAAAAGTTAATTAATTTGATTCATCAATTATTACGCTGCAGCTGATCAGCTACTGGAACAAGCAAGGGGCTTTGAATAATAAGGAATTGAAAAAAACAATGGAAGTAACATATTGGCGCTACTAGGATTTCAGTAATTTTCACAATTGTTGAAACAAAGTAATAATGATTATGTTTTTTCTTATTGCTTTTTTGCTTATGGCTTTGTGACTGGGATTTTATCAAATTTCAAATATTGTCATGTACAAATTCATTCTTGAAGTCACCACATTGTTTTCATAATAATTCATCACCGATTAGAATCCCTCGAGACATGCTAAATGAATAGGCCTTTTCATCACAATTTTTTTGTGCGCATGCGTTAATATCAGCCATCTTTTTCGTACTATTCGTACTGTTTTTTGTAAACAACCATGTTAAAGAGCCCGCAACTCATGTTTTAAAGATTAAAATATAACTTGAAGTTTATTAATTGTAAATAAAGTTTAAAAAAAATAAAGTAGTTAGTCAAAATAATCAGAAAAAATTTTTTATACTCCATTATGATTATGTTATCTGTACGAAAAGGAATAACAAAGTGATACAGGATACAAATCATTCAAAACCATTCAACTATTAAACTATAAAACTATTTTATAAATTTTCCAAAGCCTTGTCTTGAATATCGCAAAAAAAAATAATCACATCATCAAGCAAATTACATATTAAAACATGTGCAAAATATGCGAAATGTGAATTATAGGTGAAAAAATGTGTCAGGAGTGACCGAGGCTTTACATCTATTGATGATGTTACCAAGGATACTTATATTTGCTCACTACATTTCATTGGAGAAAGTGGTCCAACTGAACAAAACCCTGATCCTTTAAGCTATCAGGAATTTCAACATACGTACATTATTCCTTATTGCATTTTTTACCGTAAATTTCATATATATTATGTTGTATTAAATATTTCCCTCTAATAAAAATTACTAAACATATTCAATTCAGTATTTACATATTTGTCTTACTAATAATGATTTATTTATTAGTTCCATAAGTAACTGTCAACTGAAATATATTTTCAGTTACATCAAATAAATTGACATTATTTACTATGTCTTAAAAAATAATTCATGTGTTCGGATGAAAACTTCCGTTTTCAAATTCTCATCTTCACTATTTGAATATTTTAAATGATAGTCACTAAAATTTTCATATTTAAAATTTTGGGCTTGGCAGTATAGTATAACATACGTATGCCATGTTTGTGTGTGTTTTTTTTATTTTATTGTGTCACATCAGCTTGTAACTAATAATGATGACAATTTTAATTTTGAAATAGGTATGTGAATAACTATCCACCTAAAGACAACACAAAACAAAAATGGGATCTTAATCTTCAAAGTGATTCATTGCGTAAAACAAAACCAAGGCAATTGCAAACATTAAAATGAATATATTGAGTTATCCTTGAAAGATAGACATTTGCCATCGCCGACTTTTCGGTAAAAAAGTAAAAAAATGTAGTACTCATTTGAAGCATTCAATGTTGTACCATTACATAGTATGAAACAAAGTCGCTTCCCGCAGTCTATTCCTATAGGAGGGGAGCCCACGACGCAAAATGGGGATTTACTCGAGCGTCATAGAGAAATATTAGGTTGCAAAGCTTTGATGATAAGAAGAAAAAATGTTATATAATATATACCTTTTCATCGGTGGGGCAAGCGGCTATAGATTTTTAAATATATAAAAAAATACTGTTGCACGGACATACTCGAGCGCGTCAGGTATTGATAGCATCAATGTCCTACGTATCTTTAATAATGTTCGTATGTTAATCTGATCTGGTTTTATTCAATAGATGGGGAGTGATCCAAGAGGAAGGTTTAAATGTATATAACACTAGTTGTTGCCCGCGGCTTCGCTCACATAGGATTTGATTTGTTACATTAAGTTTCGTCACAGACCATTTTAAACAAATATTTTTTTATTATCCCAAAACTTCAGGTTTCCAACTTCAAAACTGGCTAAATTCAATACAATCTTTGAACCCCTATTTTCCCCCTTGGGAAACCGTTAACCAGCTGTCGCTCCCCTACGAAGGACAACTCTCAAAAGTCGAAACTTGTGCGAGCTAAGGACTAATGAGGTCTTACCTTTTAACGTGTGATTCCTACCGGTTCACACAGCGGTCGATTGAGTGAGTGGAGTAAATAACCCACATCAACCAACCAGACTAATGTCCTACAGGAGAACAAGACTCCAAAGAAGGTCTGATCTGAGCTAAATAAAGCATTAAAAGTTTCTGTGGTGTGAACAGTTTTCTGGTTCGGAACAGTGTTCAAGCTTTTGAGAAGTAGCTTTTGCAATTCCAGCTACATGATTGTGCCAAAACATATTGGTGTCCATTTTAGGCGGAATTGTCTGTCCTGAAATTATTATATCCGGTTCGGAGACATTTATCTTTTTGGAGAAAATCGATGCCTGGGTTTTTGTAGCATTGAATTGAACCTGGTTACTTTCACCCCAATTCGAAATTACCTCTAGATCC